GGGGGCATGGAGCCGAGGGGAGAGCGAGCTCGTCCTCATGGCCAGGTCTGTCCCTGTGCGGTGTCCACAGCGTGAGGGAGGAGAGAGGGGCCGAGGCCCAAGGCCACTGAGTCTTCCTAGATTTTCCTGAGTAAATACCTCCCGGTGTCTGTCTGTCTGCTAGGGAAGGACAGACAGCTCAGCAGAGCCCTGGAACCTGGTGAGGGCCTCAGACCACAGCACCCCAGGAAGACCTCACCCTGCGGGGTCAGGTGGGGAATGGAATACCTAGATACGCTGGGCAAGCAGAGGCCGGATACAAAGGGCCAGATGCCACTCAGAGAGAATCTGTTCAGTTCACAATAGCTGAGCTATGGAGCCGACCTAGGTGCCCTTCATGAACGGATAAAGAAAATGTGGTCTTAGCACAGTGGAATACTACTCAGCCATAAAGAAAACGAAATCATAGCATTTGCTGGTGAATGGATGGAGCCGGAGGCTGTCGTGCTAAGTAAGCCAATCCCCCCAAACCGAAGGTGAATGTTCTTTCTGATCCATGGACGCTGGCCCACAACAAGGGAGGGTGGAGAGGGAAAGGACAGCAGTGTGCCCAGGACCCCTGCAGCACCCTCTCCATGTGCAGCCGGCCTTCCTTTGTCACTCTTCCACTGAGCCACCCCCCAGCCCTTTTGAGAAAGGGTCTCGAGGCTTTCCTGGAACTTGTGATCCTGCTACTTCAGCCCCCCAAATGTCGGGGATCACAGGTGGGCAGTGCCGCGCCCTGCTGGGGGGGACGCGAACTAACCCACACAGCATTGTGCACCTTGCTTTTGTAGATAGCTGGGAATCTTTGGTTCCCCTTTATCCGGCAGTTTTTTCTTTTTATGATGGCATAATGAATACCTACTCGTTTTAAAAACAATGAGAAGCAGGGGAGAAACACAAAGGGCACCCATCTGCCCTCCCTCCTCGACATGTCCCCACCATCAGCTATCCTGGGCACCCAGCATGCTCAGCCACAGCAGGGGCGCAGATGGCCTGGGATGTCCCCCACAAAGGGCCGAAGGACCCCAACTTCTTCCCCACCTGTTATGGTTTAGATGTGCTGACCCCCAAAACTTCACAGGTAAGACAGTACAAGGTTTGGGGGAGAAATGATCGGGTCATGATAGCCTTAACTCCATCAGGGAACTAATCCCCTAATAGGGCTTAACTGAGTGGTGACTGAAGGCAGGTGGGGTGGCGGGAGGAGGTGGGCATTGGGGCGTGGCTTGGGGTGTATATTTGTATCTGTCGAGTGGAGTCTCTGCTCCTGATCACCATGTGAGCTGCTTCCCTCTGCCATGAGCCCTGAGGAATGGAGGCTGCTGTCTATGGACTGAGACACAAAACTGTGAGCCCTCAAGTAAACTTCTCCTCCCTCACAGCTGTTCTGGTCAGGTCCTTTAGTCACCACAGCAGAAAGCTGACTAAAACGCCACCCCACCAGACTCCCCCAAAGCCTGCCCCAGCCTCAAACAACTCCCGTCTGGAGAAGACTGAGGGCCACCTCTGGGCCCGCAGGCTGCCCTGGGAAACCTCCTTCATGGGAAGCTCCCCCCAGGGCCCTTCCCACTTTCTACAGTGTTTGAACCCTTTGGAAGTAGCAGGCACCTCCTCCCAGAAGCCCTCCTAGCGGCTCAGCCGGCCAGCAAGGCACCTCGTTATCCAGCCACCTGGAGCAGAGGGTACACTTGTGTCCCTCTTGCTCCCCCACCGACTGCAGGCCAGACCAGACCCTGTGGGCACCGACAGGCCCAGGCCAGGGACAGAGCAGCCTGGGCCACAGTCCTGAGTCAGCTCTGGCCAGAGGCCTTCTCAGGCCTGCCTCTGGTTGATGCTGTCCAGAGGTGGGGACCTCCCTAGGATCTACCCCACATTCATTCCTCTGTGGAGACCCAGCTCCCTGCAGAAGAAGTCCCCCAACTGCTGTGGGAGTCCCAGCACTCAGACGCCACCTGTGTGCCCTCCCCCTGGGAGCCACATCCTGCCCACTGGGGGGATCTCCAGGGTCCCGCCCACACTTGGGGTCCGGCAGCTCTAGGTTTGAAAGGAAATGGGTCTAACACCCCAACCTGATCCAGAAAGCCTTGTGTGTGGAGATCCTGAAAGCCCTGCAGAACAGGGGCCGCACCGCCCCACCCACCTCACCTACAGCCCACCCCCCTACAGCCCACCCTCACCTACAGCCCACCCCCCTACAGCCCACCCTCCATACAGCCCACCCCCCCTAGCCCACCCCCCTACAGCCCACCCTCACCTACAGCCCACCCTCCCTACAGCCCACCCCCCCTACAGCCCACCCTCACCTACAGCCCACCCCCCTACAGCCCACCCCCCTACAGCCCAACCTCCCTACAGCCCACCCCACCTACAGCCCACCCTCCCTACAGCCCAACCTCACCTACAGCCCACCCCACCTACAGCCCACCCCCACCTACAGCCCACCCTCCCTACAGCCCACCCCCACCTACAGCCCACCCCCACCTACAGCCCACCCCCCTACAGCCCACCCCCCTACAGCCCACCCCCCTACAGCCCACCCCACCTACAGCCCACCCCCCACCAGCCCACCCTCACCAACAGCCCACGCCCCACCAGCCCCTCACCTGCACCCTGCCCACTGCCACATCCGTGTCTGTCTCCCTCTTACCCCATCATCTGCCAGTCATCATTGGCGCCCGTTGGAGCCCAAGGACAGGTCCCGACGCTGCCCAGAACTGCTGCCGCAGCTTGTCCTTCCGCGGCCTGCAGCGCCCCCTGGCGGCGCGAGCCGTGGGGGCGCGCGAGGGAGGGGCGAGCGGGAGGTGGGGGGCGCCCCCTGGAAGTCCCCAACAGCTGGGGGACTGCGGCACGCACGCAACACTGGTGCTGCGCGGGACGGGCCCAAGGGTCTGTGCGCCCCAGATCCCGGCCCGCGAGCCTGGCCCCTGCCGGACCTCGAGCCCCCTAAGCTCCCCGAGACCTGGCGGCCGCGGACCCCGGGGTGCAGGAGGAGCGGGTGGCGTGGTGAGGTCGGGTGGCGTGGTGAGGTGAGGCAGAGCGGAGCCACCAGGCCGCGGGCTGGAGTGAGGGTGCCCCGCGGAAGTCCCCGCCTTTGCTCTTTGATTTGTAGGTCGGATGCTGCGTACAAATTCAAGATTGTGAATGCTTTGTAAGATGCATTTCTTACTTTTATTAATAAAATCACTGTGTATGCATTGAAATTAGGAAAACCCTGGAGAGGGTGCTGAGGAGTGCCCCTGGCCACATTACAGTTACATTGTGTGCATGTACAGATAGGTAACAACAAATCCCATCAATGGATACAACCAAAAAGCACCCATAGAAAACGTAGGGGGGAATTCCCCGAAATGGGCCTTGAGCAGTTTTACCATTTGGTTTGGAAAGCCCACAGCTGGGCGGCAGATGGCCCAAACGGCAGGGGGAGGCAGGGGGAGGCAGGGGGAGGCAGGGGGAGGCAGGGGGAGGCAGGGGGAGGCAGGGGGAGGCAGGGGGAGGCAGGGGGAGGCAGGGGGAGGCAGGGGGAGGCAGGGGGAGGCAGGGGGAGGCAGGGGGAGGCAGGGGGAGGCAGGGGGAGGCAGGGGGAGGCGCCTGCCGGTCCCAGGGTGGGCCTGAGGAGAGAGCAGGGAGGCCCTGCCTCAGCACCCAGCACGCACTGGGTGATTCAGGCCGGCTGTGGAGAGGCAGCTGACGGGCACACACCCCGAAACACCCCAAACCTGGAGCCTGCATGGCGCACACAGAGCTTCTCACAATCAAGCCCGTTAGAGCCAGCAGGTTTTCCAGATTCTGAGCAGCAGGCCACTGCATACAGGTTGGGCGTCCTTATCTGAAATGCCTAGGGCCGGAAGTATTTCCCACTGCAGAGCTTTTTGGATTTGGGACTATTTGCAGACTTTACCCAAAATTCTGAAAATTGAAAAGTTCATTCAGGAATCAAAAAGTTCCTGAGGTGTGAATCAGAGCCACACAGTTGGGACCCCGGGACCAGATCAACACAGTTCCAGGTCACCAGAAAACCACTCAAAACCACCTGTTAGTCAGCTGTTCATCACTGACCAAAATACATGACACAACTTCAAGGAGGAGAGATTTATTTTTTCCATGGTTTCACATGTTCAGCTCTTGGTCGGCCAGCTCCATTGACCTGGCCTGAGGTCAGGTGGGACATCATCGTGGAGGACGTGCAGACCGAAGCTGCTCAGTTCCAGGCAACCAGGCAGCAAAGAGGAGGAGCTCAAGGAAGGGGCACCCAAGGACCCACTTTCCTCCCACTATGCCCCACCTGTCTACAGCTTCCACCTCCTCTCAGTCAGCCATTCCAATCACTAATCCATCAAATGGATTAATCCAGTGATGAGGTCAGACCCCTCGCGGTCCTCTGGACATTACTACATCGAGGGCCAAGCCTTGAACACAGGAGTTTTGGGGGGACGTTCCAGATCCAAACCATGACACCACCCAACAGTTCATCACTGGGTTGCCCTCCTATTATCAGGATCTGAGCATTATGTTTATGTTCTGGATGAGCTCTTTATCAGACACGATCTGCACACACTTGCTCCACATCATAGCTCCTCTCTGCATTCTCTTCACAGGGTCAGAGAAATTCTCAACTTCTACAAAGCCCAAGGTATCTCCTTCCTCCCTCCCTCCCTCTCTCTCTGGGATCACACTTTTGGTGCCACATCGAAGAAGCCCCTGCCTGACCTGAGATCACCAAGGTCATCTCCTGATGGTTCTACAGGTCTGTGGCCCACCTGGAGTTAGGCTTGTGAATAGTTAAGGCAGGAACAGCCTCCGTCTTCCAATATACGGATATAGGAGCATTCCAGCACCATCTGTAAAGGATCATTCTTGGCTATTAATCATTTCTGCATCTTTGAAAATTTAAAAAAAGGTCGATGTATTGTGGAAGCATGGATCTTTGGCATTCTAGTCAGCTTTTCACCACTGCGACCAAAAGACCTGACAACAGCTTCGCAGGAGGGAGAGTTTATTTGGTTTCAGGAGCTGACTCCACAGCTCTGGGCCTCAGCTGAGGCAGGACACCAGAGGAAAGGCACGGTGGAGGTCAGCAGCTCAGGACAAGGCACCGGGAAGCAGAGCTCTGCTCTCCAGGGACAAAATATAAACCCAAAGGCACAGTCCCAGTGACCACTCCTCCAGCCACCCCCCACCCACACAGGGTCACCACCCAGTTACTCCACACAGGGGATCAATGCACTGGTTAGGTTTTGCAGGGCTCTCCTAACCCAATCACTTCACCTCTGAACCTTCTTGCATCGTTTCACAATGAGCTTTTGGAGACACCTCACATCCAAACCATAACAAAAACGTAGGTGCACAAATCCTGAAATCATGTTGTGTGGGACCTCCGACTGGCTCTTTTATTTTGTCTAGCTCTGTTTCCATTTCTATATAAAGTTAGAGTCAGCCTGTCCATTTTCTCTCTCTCCCTTTCACACACACACACTCACACTCTCTCACAAAAAAAAAAAAAAAAAAAACACCGATGACCTTGAGATAGGGTTCTCTCTCTTGAATCAATCTGAGGACACACATTGCAGTGTGCAGTCTTCTGACCACAAATGCAACACACCTCTCCAGTGACTTTCTAATATCAGCAATGTTTACAATTTAAAGTTTAAATCTCTTTTACATCTTTGGTCACATTTAACCCAAAGTGTTTCATATGTGTGATGCTGCCATAAACGATAGTGTTTTGATTTCAATTTGACTGTTAATAGCTGACGTGTATAAACATTACTGTGCTTTGTGTGTTGACCTTGTATCCTTGTGTGGATGATCATGAGAACCATTCCATGCTTTTTATTATGCTTGCTGTAGAATTTTCTGCATAGGTGGCATGCTGTCCCCCTACCCCATGTGGCATGGAAAGTGACACTTCCTGTTCTGCTCCCTGAGCAGACTCTCTCCACAGAAGCCATGAGTGCAGTTTCCTGTCTGGTTCTTGCTCCTGGGGGCACAGGGATGCAGTTGTCCTTTACCTGCTCCCAGTTCTCCTGACGTTGTGAGAAGAATGGGAGCATCTGTCAGATGACCATATGGTTTTGTCCTTCATTCTATTAACACCAAATATTGCACTGATTTTCGGATGTTAACCCGACATTTGTAATCCTGGGATGAACCCCACCCATGTGACCTCATTTGGTTTTATCTATTTTTACACATTGTTGAATTTAAGATTTGTGTGTGTGTGTGCATGTGTGTGTGTGTGTGGTGCTGGGGACTGAACCCAGGGCCTTGTGCATGCAAGGTAAGCACTCTGAGCTATATTCACGGTCCAGAATTTAAGAATTTTTGCATGAAGCAAATACACACTGGGATTCCATCCTACTCTAGTTAGAACGGCAGGCATCAAGAATATAAACAATACCAAATGCTGGGGAGGACGTGTGGGAAAAGGAACCCTTTCCATTGTTGCTGGGATTGTACTTTAGGACAACCACCATTGAAAGCAGCACAGCGTTTCCTCAAAAGACTAGGTACAGAAGCACCAAATGACCCAGCCATACCACTCTTCGGGATTTATCCTCAAGAATTAAAATCAGAATACTATAGTGACACATGCACACCCAGGTTCACAGCAGCACAATTCACAATAGCCAATCTTCAGAACCAGCCTGGGCGCCCATCAGTAGATGAATAGGTAAAGAAAATGTGGTATATTTTTGCTACATTGATTTTTTTTACTTGTTTTTGTTTTCTATTTTTCTTTCTTTTCTTTGTCCCAGAGATTGAACCCAAAGGCACTCAACCGCTGAGCCACACCCCAGCCCTTTTTGTATTTTATTTAGAGACAGGGTCTTGCTGAGTTGCCTAGAGCCTCGGTAAGTTGCTACAGCTGGCTTTGAACTCACTTCCTCGTGCCTCAGCCTCCCAGTCCTGTTTCTTTATTGGTGCTTTCATCTGTATGCTTGCTCTTTCCACGTTCCCAAGGTGCGAAGAAGGGACTTGTGATCACCTCTTTTCTAGCACAGACATTTGATGAGTAAATTTGCGGCAGGGGTGTCCCACAGATATTGAGATGATGAACATGTTTGTATTCATTTCTATTCTAGTAAAAAGGTTTTCTAGGGGTTGGGGCTGGGGCTCAGTGGTAGAGCGCTTGCCTCGCACATGTGAGGCCCTGGGTTCAATCCTCAGCACCACATAAAGATAAACAAAATATTTTTTAAAAAATTTTTTAAAAAAAATGCTTTCTAGCGCTAGGACATGACTTAGCAGTAGACACTGGCCTAGGAGGCCCTGGGTTCCAAGGTTTGGATGTGAGGGGTCCCCCCCAAAGCTCCTGTTATGCAGGAATGTTCGGAGGTGAAGTGCTTGGACTGTGAGAGCTGTGACCTGGGTGGCAGCTGCAGGCAGGTGGGGCGAGGCTGGAGGAGGTGGGTCACTGGGGGCTGCCCTGGAAGGGGGCGTCTTTCCTGAGGCCCCTCCCTCCTTGCTCCTTCTGGCTTCTGACCCCACCGTGCGCTCAGCAGCTCTCCTACCCTGGCTCTCTGCCACGATGTTCTGCCTTATCTTAGGCCCAGAGCAGTGGAGTCGCCGTCTTCAGACTGAGACCTCTGAAACCATGAGTCCCAATGGACCTTCCTTCCTCTAGACTCCTCTTGTAAGGTCTCTTGGTCCCAGCAACGCGAGCTGGCTAAAGGACATCCCCAGCCTGTAAAAAGAAAGAAAAGAAACATTTAAAGTGTTTGATTTCTTTTCTGACCCAGGAATTATTTAGAAGTATATGATTTCATTTCTAAATATTTGGGGGATTTTCAAGCTATTTTCCAGCTCTTGCTCTTTTGTTTCTGTTGTGGATTTTTAGAACTTCCATTGTTCAGAGAACATGCTTGATTTGGACCTGTTAGGCCTGTTTCCCGGCCCAGCACTCGGCCGGGCACGGCCACACCCAGTTCCCTCCCGGAGACTGCATTCGCTGAGGCTGGGCATCCTGTACTACTACACGCTGCTCAGCTGGCGTCCCTCGGCTGATGCCAGTGTCCTCCCCTGCCCTGTGGGCTCTGAGGGAGGGCACCAAGAAAGCTGACTGTAACTGTGGCTTTCTCCTGGGGATTCTTTCAATCACTGCTCTGGGTCAGCTGTCCAGATGAACTGCCCTTGGTCACTGGGAGCTGACCTCTTTATCCCAGATGCACTTTGCCTGGAAACCTTTCCTGACACTTACGTGGTCTTGCCATCAGTATTCTGATTGCCATTAGGATATCTTCTTCCATCTCTTTTACTTTTTTTGGTACTGGGGATTGAGCCCAGGGACACTCAACCACTGAGCCACATCCCCAGCCCTATTTTGTATTTTATTTCAAGACAGGGTCTCACTGAGTTGCCAAGCGCCTCGCCGTTGCCGAGGCTGGCTTTGAACTCGAGATCCTCCTGCCTCAGCCTCTGGAGCAGCTGGGATCACAAATGTGCGCCACAGAGCCCGGCTCATCTCTTTACTTTTAAACTCTGCTTCCTCCTATAGACAATGTGCTCCTCAGGTAACTGTTGCAGCTTGGATCTGGAACAGCTCCCCAGAGGCTCACGTATTGAAGACTTGAGCCCTCAACTTGGCAGTGTTCAGTTGTGGGGCATTGGGGAGCGCCTGGGTCAGGAGGGCTCTGACCTCACCAGTGGACTAATCCACTGATAGCAGATGGACCTCTGAGAGGTGGTGTTAACTAGGCGGTGGGATCTGATTGGAGGAAGTAACGCGTCTTGAAAGGGTGTTTCCTTTTAAATTCTTATTGGTACATTATAATCATGCATAATAGTGGGATTCGTTGCAATATATTCATACAAGCATATCCACAATGTGGTCCATTCCCTTCTCCAGCACCTCCTCCTTCCTTCCCCACACCCCGCTCCCAGGTCCCTTTCCTCTGCTCTACTAATCCCCCTCAGTTCCTTCCTCTGCCCTACTCCTCTCTAGCTTCCATATGAGAGGATCCATGCAACCTGTCCTGCGGAGTCTAACTTATTTCACTTAACACGATGTTCTCCAGTTCCATCTGTTTTTCTGCCAATGACATAATTTTGTTGTTCTTTGGCATTTTGCTCTTTATGCCTGAGTTAAACTCTACACTGTACATATACCGCATTTTCTTTACCATTTATCCAGCGATGGACACCTCAGCTGGTTTCAGTTTGGCTATTGCAGGCTGCTATAAAACAAGGGTGAGCATGTACCACTGTAGTATGATGACTTTTATTCTTCAGGACAGAGTGGCACAGCAAGATCATAGTGTTACCACACCTAGTTTTCTGAGAAACCTCCATACTAATCTCCATAGTGATTGTATTAATTTACAATCTCTCCAAGAGTGCAAGAGTTGCTTTTTCTCCATACCCTCTCAAGCATTTTTATTCTTGCTCATTTCCTCTGTAACTGGAGTATCATGAAACCTCAGTATAGCTTTGACTTACATTTCCGTAATTGCTAATGGTGTTGAACTTTTTTTTTTCTTTAAACATTTCTTTTAGTTGTAAATGGACACAATACCTTTATTTAGCATTTTTTATGTGGTTCCGGGGATCGAACCCAGTGCCTCATGCATGCTAGAGGCAAGCACTCTAATACTGAGCCCCAGCCCCATTTTTTCATTTATTTGTGGACCATTTGTGTTTTTCTTTTGAGAAGTGTCTATTTAATTCATTTGCCCAATCTATCGTCTTGTCTTCTCTGTGCTCCTCTGCGTGTGTCCTCCCTTCTGACACCCCTAGGACTAACATGGTGCTGCCAGCATTCCTCTTCATCTCTTCTGTTGACTCACTAGCTGTAACTCCTTGATTTCTGGTCTATCAGAGTAGCCTGCAGTCTGCCTTGCAGCAGGACTGCACTGGCTCTCAGGGAGTATAAACTTACAGTCCCCTGCAGCAACTCGACCTTCCTTCCACTTGAGTTGGCACACCATTTGCTGCTACGCAGATCCTGAACCCCACACCACCTCCTTGTCATGTCTGGTCTTCAGCCTGCTGCTTTGAAGGTACTTTGAGGTAATGGATGTTTCTACTGCTCCCATACACATCCATCTTCACCGGCACTGCTGTCACCTGGTGAGTCGGTACTGCGGTGCCATTTCCCTTCTTCCTGAAAGACCTGCTTAACATCCTGGTGGTGCAGGTCTTCCGGGACGCACGCTGCTGTGGTTTGGATGTAAGTTAAGTGTCGCACCAGGCTTCCCATGCAGAAGTATTAACAGGGCAGAAACTTCCCCATCTGAAGTATTAAGAGGATGGAGATTGGATCCAACCGTGGCATTTAGAGGTGGCATTTTGAGGGGTAATAGGATTGGATAAGGTCGCCGTGGTGGAGCTCTGTGATTGAACCCTGGCGGCTTTATGAGAAGAAGGGACAAAAACAACACTCAGGTGCTCCCTGGCCCTTGCCAGGTGATGCTCTGGGAGGCTACGGGACTGCCAGCAAGAGGGCCGTCCCTGGAGGGGAGCCTCCAGCCTTGACCACGACCTGAGCCAAGGAGAGTGATCCTCTCTCCTTTCAACCCACCAGTCTGTGGTGCTGCACCACTGGGAAAGAAGACAGGCTGACCCAAACGCTCCTGGGTTCCACATGTCCAGAAGCCTATCTTGCCTTTCATTTTGATATCTATCTCCCTGGGCAGTGCCCAGGCTGAGGGCGACTTCTTGCTCCACTGTCTTCTACTCTGTCATTCTGATCCCTGTTCATCTCCCCGATTTCAAATTTTTAGCTCGAATTTGAGGCAATTTGTGTACTATGTGCCTGGTGTAGTTTTTGTTGTGCATGTGGAGCTTATTAAGCTCCTTAGAAATAAAACTGAAACTTTCCATCAGTAGCAAGGAGGTGAAGCCACTAGAAGACTATTAACTGCTAGTGGAATGCAAAATGAAACAGTAAGGCCATGAAACAGATGGGCAGCTTCTCTTGAAGCAAACCTGCACCTACCGTGTCATCCACCAACCCTCCTGGGTGCTGACCCAAGAAAAAGAAAACCTACACCTGATGCCATGCCCTAGGCATAGGTACAACAGCCGAACACCAGGAGCTACCCAAAATTGGAGAACGGTTAGACAAGTCACAGGGCGTCTAAAGGCAGGGGGCAACACTGCGACCTGGAGGAACCGGGCACACAGCAAGGCGAAGCCCTCACCTGCACTGTGGCCAGATGGCCACTGGGGCCCTGCAGACCACACTGCACAGGGCCCTGCCTGGGACAAGGTGGATCAGGGCTGTCAGGGTCAACAAAAGGTGCATGAGGATGGGCTGTGGAGTGTGTATATGTTTACCTTGATCATAGCACTGACCTATTCTCAAAGCTATTGAGCTGTGCAGGGAAAAGAGGTGAAGTCTATTGTGAGTCTCACCCCACACCTGGCTTTAAAAGGGACTTTACCTTCCAGTTTCCAGTCTGGCAGAGTCCCCACAACCGTGAAAAGCAAGGCACACTGAAAATTCAACAACCCTTTTTAGATGCATTAGAGAAGTGAGGTCGCAAGACCACCCGACTCCAGCTTTGGAGAGACCCAGAGGTGAACAAAGAGGATCACAGTTATGAGAACAGAGACTCGGGAGCCCAAACCTGCCCGGGAATTAGGCCAGGGCAGAACCCAGATGGAAACTGACCATGCACACAAGTCCAGCACCAGGGAACCAGTCCTGGAGGTCCCCATGTTTCTGAGCTGTACCATGTGTTCTGCAGGGTATCATGGTGAATCTCAATTCAGGGAAAACACCTGCCGTGTTTCTGGCAGGCAAGGAGAGGAACCATTCTGAAATACGTAGAGTGTTCATTTTGAAAAGAGTTCTGTTCTTGAGGCAGCTGCGCAAGGAGCCTGAGAACGGGGGCTACCCAGAGGCTCACTGACATGAGGGGAGGACAGTGCCCTCTGCTGCCAGCCAAGGTCTTCCACGTGCACAGAGGGAGTTCCAGCTTCAGCCCCGACATCCCTCTCACCCATGAGGCCTAAGAAGCTCTTGCAAAGCACACAGCCCATGCCATGCAAGCCACCAAAGCCTGCAGCTCCCCGAAGGACCTCGGCACATTCTCCCCCACCCCTACCCATGCCTCACCACATCACCACAGGCCCGTCTGCCATAGCTCCTTGACCCAGAGCACGATGTCCTGCCCCAAAGACAAACTTACTGGGGAAGACTTATGAGAAATCTTACGCTAATAAAGGGGAAAAAAGTTTGAAAAGAGCGAGCATCAGAATCAGATTCAGAGCAGGGATATTGGAATTATCAGAACTGGAATTTTAAACATTTTTGATGCAAGTATCCTAAATATAATACAGCCTGAGGAAAGCAGAGAGCCAGAAAGTCTAAGAAAGACCCAAAAAGAAAAGCTACATACCAAAATAATTATAACAGGAATGATCAATGCCCTTGATAGACTAAACTGGTTTACCAAACACAGCAGAGGAAAGAATCTCTGAGCTTGAGGGTACAGAAACCAAAAAGCCTGAATGGAAAAGAGAAAAAAGCCTGAAAAAAAACCCCAGAATATCCAAGGACTGTGGAACAACTGCAGAAAGTAGAGAGAGAGGAGGGGACAGAGTACAGCAGGCACACAGTGGGACGCCAGAAGGAAGGGAGAGAGAGGAGGGGACAGAGTACAGCAGACACACAGTGGGACGCCAGAAGGAAGGGAGAGAGAGGAGGGGACAGAGTACGGCAGACACACAGTGGGACGCCAGAAGGAAGGGGGTGGGATATTTGAAACAATGATGACTAAGACTGTCCCCAACTGTGGCTGGATACCAAACCACTTTCCGGGAAACTCAGAGAACACCCAGCAAGATAAATGGGAGAGATTAAGAATGACACTTATAATCATATTCAAACTACAGAAAAATCAAAGACAAACTGTCCTGAAAAAAGTCAGGGTAAACACCATACCTGAAAGGAAACAGAGACATGAATTACATCTGATGTCTCATCAGCAACCACATGGGCAGGAAGAGAGAGGGACAAGTCACTTAAAATGTCAAGAGAATAGCACCAAACTAGAACTCTGTGCTCTGAAAACTAACTCATCCTTAAAGTGTGAAGGAGAAATAAAGACGTTCTCAAAATCTGACACTAGTTAGCAGGAGACCTGCCTTGCAAAAACAAGTCAAAAGAAGTTCAGACCCAGACAAAGGAAGAGCATCAAAGGTGAGATAAAAACCTCTTCTTACTCTACATCAAGCTAGTAGACAATACGTTATTCAAAATAACAGCCACACCGTATTTACCTATGTATGCCTGCGTACATAACCAACATACACACATCTTTGCACACACCCAATATAAATACCCAAGATACGTACAGAAGCACACATGACTAAGTACATTGAATACACAAATGTGCAAATATGTACACATAATCACTTGGGCTTAAAATGAAGGAGAGGGACCTGAATTACAGTCAGATCCTTAGGTAAAATCAAGACACGGAGGTCCTGTGTGATGGTGTTTCAGTCGGTGATAACTGCAGGTACCAGCAACCCCATGAGATCACCCATGACATCAGGCCACCTTAGTTTGTGTGTGCGCACCGTGGTGTTGGCACAACAGTGACATCACCTCACGATGATGCCCTTCTCAAAAATCCACCCCCCTGGTTCAGCAGTGAATGGCTGTACTGTCTGTGATGCTTTAGATGGTGGAGTGGTGCAGCGTTACTGGAACGTCACCTTGGAGTAGTTGCGAATGTTTACTACAAACTCTACGGAAAACACTTTAAAGAATAAAAATGAGTATGAATAATAGGCTAGGAAAGTAAAGAAAATGGAATCATAAGATTTTCAATCAAAACTACAAAAGGTAGAAAAAGAACAGAAGAAAAATAGGAGCAAAGGGCAAGGATAACAAATAGAAAATAATAATAAATATGGTTAATACATACTATTTATCACTTATCATATTTATCATAATCATTACTTTGAATGTTAGCAGTTAAGACAATGAAAAGACAGATGTGGTCAGCGGAACATCAAACAAGACCCAAGTACACACTGTCTGTAGGAAACACTGTGAATACCAAGACACAAATAGATTGAAAGTGAAGGATAAAGCGATCGCAGGTTCACACCAACAGAAAGGAAGTGGAAGAAGCTGTCATCATTTCCAACAGAGCAGACTGTTCAGCAAGAGAGGTGTCGGTGCACAAAGTGGGTGTCACTCGACCATAAAGGGCTCAGTTTTCCGAAACAATGTAACAGCCCTCAATGTGTATATGCCTAAGGAGTGTCAAGATGTGTGAGGCAAGACTGACAGAGCCAAGGGGAGACGGGGGCCACAACACCCTCTATCAGAAACAGACGCCGCAGGCGGGAACTCAGTCACTCAGCAATGCCCTGGGCCCAAGGGGTATGTAGAGACCATTCAACCCAACAAGAGAGAGATATTCTTCTCAAGCACACGCAGAATGCTCAAAATAGACCACACTGTGAGCCATAAAGCTCAGTCCCACAAAATGGAATTGAACGATAACGCAGTAACAGGAAAAGCAGAGAACCCCAAAATACTGGGGAATCAAACAACATGCTCCTAAATATAGGTTACAAAATAAATCAAATAATATTTTAAACTAAATGAGTGTACACAGAACTTATCAAAATGTGTGTGATACAGGAAATACAGAGCATAGAGGGAAGTACTGAAGACATGTTATTGCAAAAGAAGAAAGCTCTAAAAGCAATCACATAAAGTTCCATACTATGAAACTAAAAAAAAGAAAGGAAAATTAAGTCCAAAGTAAGATGAAAATAAATAATAAAATTACAGCAGAAATCAGTGAGATTGAAAACAGAAAAGTGCTTAGATAAAAATCAAGAAAACCAAAAGTTAACTCTTTGAAGGAAGTCAATAAAAATTGATAAGAATGAGATTGAAATCAATAGACAAAAATCAAAAGATGATTCTTTGAAGAAAATTAATAAAATAGATGAGTCTCTAGCCAGGACAATCAAGAGAGAAAGAAGATAGAAGTCACTGCTGCCAGGAGCCAAATAGTGGCCATCCCTCCAGCTCTCCTGAACACTGAGGGACAACAAGGCCTTACCAAGGACAACCCACGCCCTGCCTCAACTGGATAAAGAATGTCTGTGAAGAACTCAGCCAAGATATACTCAATGGTAAGAAGGTAAACGCTTTCCCACTAAGATTAGGAACAGGGGAGGGAACAGAGAAGGAGGTACCCTCTTTTGCACTCCTTTTCAACATTATCTTAGAAATCCTAAATAATGCAATAAGGCTAGAACAGGAAATAATGGGTACACTAATTAGGAAGGAAGAAATAAAACTGTTTTTGTTTGCAGATAACCTGATGATCTATGCAGAAAAGCTGAAGGATTTATGGGGAGAAAAAAACTCCTGGAACTAATAAGCAATTATATCGAGGTTGGAAAATACACAGTGAAACACAAAAGTCAGTTGCTTTTTCATATAACAACAACAAGTGAGTAGGATTAGAAATTAAAACAATACCATTAACTTTAGCAAAAGAAATTGACAATTCTTAGTTATGAATCTAACACACTATGTACAAGAGCTATATGAGAAGAATAATGCAACTCTGATGAAAAAAAAATCAAAGAAAGCTATATTCCATATTCACAGATAGGGAAAAAAATCCAGTATTGTCTAGATGTCTGTTCTTCCTAACTTGAACAGTAGATTAATGCAGCAAGTTATTGCGAGAATATTGACAAACTAACCCTAAAATTTACATGGAGAAGCAAAGGAACTAGAATAGTAAAACATCACCGAGAAGAACCAAGTTGGTGGGACTGAGGCCACCTGACTTCAGAGCTTAACAGGACGCTACAGGAAACACGATGGTGGAGCCTGATGAGAGGAGAGACTAACAGATCCACGAAAAAAAACAGGTGCCCAACACAGGTCTATGAATTTTTGGCAAAGAAGAAAAGGCAGTTCAGTGGAACAAATGAAATGTTTTCAACAAATGGTACAGGAACAAACAGTAACTACACACATAAATAAAAGTATTTCTAGACATTCTTAACACTCTTCATAAAATTAACTCAACCTGGATCACAGACCTGGATGTAAAGTACAAAGCTACAAAACTCCTGGGAGACAGCAGAGGACACCCAGCTGAGTTGGGGCTTGGGAAGGACTCTAACACAATTAAGACACAAACCAGGAAAGAACTGGACTTCATGAAAATATCTGAGGCTATCAAGAGAATGAAAACAAACTACAACCAGAGAAAATATTTGCACAAGTCATATCCGAAAGGTTACTATCCACCAACACACAGAGAACTCTTAAAACTCAAAAATAATAAACAACTGAGTAAAAAAATGACCCAAAGACCTTAAAAAGCACCTCACCAAAGAAGATATACTGATAGAAAAAAGATATGAAAAAATGCTCCACATCATGTCATCCTCAAAGTGCAAATTAAACAACTGTGGGACACCCCTACACACCCGTTAGAAAGGCCACAATTCAGAACATGACTCACCTCATGTGTTGGCAAAGATGGGGAGCAACAGGAACTCTCCTTCACTGTTCACAGGAATACAAAATGGCACAACCACTTGGGAAGGTGGTTGGGCAGTTTCTCAAAAAGCCAGATAAGCTCTCAGCATACAACCCAGTGATCATGCTTCTTGGTCTATCAAGTGTTGGAAGCCTACCTTAGCACAAAACCTGCACAGGGATGCTTACAGCAGATTCATTCATGATTGGTAAAACCTGAAAGCAGGCAAGATGTCCTTCAGACAGCGCATGGATAAAGAAGCTGTGATCTGAAGTCTTGAAAGGCAAGGAAGAAACTCAAAAGGCCTGCTACTGACCGAGGCGCTTTACGAAGGCAGTGAAGGGATGAGCGGTACCGTCCGAGGGTCAGCAGGCAGGAGGCGTAAGGAGGCAGAGCACCGAGGACTCGGGCAGTGAGGTGATTCTCACATCTCACTACGCAGCTGTTAGAACACCTAGAAGGTGCGCCACAAGAGTGAGCCGTCGTGTGAACTACGGGCTTTGGGTGACAGACACACATCAGTGCAGGTTCTGCAGCATTCTGATGGGGGACATCCCTAGTGTGGGAGGACATCGGGGGAACAGGGAGCACGTGGGACATCTCCAGGCTTCCTCCTCAGTTTTACTGTAACCTAAAATTGCTCTAAAAAATAAAAACCGCCAGGCATCGTGGCACATGTCTGTGATCCTCACAGCTCAGGAGGTGGGGCTCGGAAGGCCAGCCTCGGCAACTTAGCGAAGTCCCAGGCAACTTACCAAGACCCATCTCAAAATAGAAAATAAAAAGGACTGGGAATGTGGCTCAGTGATGAAGCACCCCTGGGTTAAATCCCCAGGTACCAAAAATAAATAAATAAATTGAATTGATTGATTAAGAGGGTCTTTAGGGGCTGGGGTTGTGGCTCAGCGGTAGAGCACTCACCTAGCATGTGCGAGGCCCTGGGTTTGATCCTCAGCACCACATAAAAATAAAATAAAGGTATTGTGTCCAACTACAACAAAAAAAATAAATATATATATAAAAAAAAGTAAGACTCACTCACTCCACTTGCCAATCACCAATTTTCCAGGGCATTCCTGGTTTACCAAGAATGAGCCCATTCTCAGGACTTACTTCCAAAATCACACCTCCTTGTCATCGTCACTCCACCTCCCTGTGCCCCTTCCATGACCAACAGGACTGAGGCTTCACCCTCCATATGACACAGACCTATTTCTCATTGGAGCTCTTTGAAAATCATTCAAATTAACCCTTAGAGCATGAGCTCCTCAGAGACTGTTTCTCAGCCCTCTCTGCATCCCAGCTCTTGATCCCTTATAGGAACCTAAAAAGGAAAAAATTAAGAAAGGAAGGAGACAGGGAGGGACGGACAAAAGGAAAGCCTGAGTGACCAGCTGGGCTCCCACACTGATGTCTTAGGCAAAGAATCCCCTTTCCATCTAGATTCCAACATTAGTTCCATCCAAATCTGCTTCTTCCCATCAAAAGAAAAAGTCACGCGTTTTACCTTCAATTACCTTGCAGAAGCCAATGAGGAGAAAGCCCAGGTGGACCTTATCAGGCACACTCCAACCTCTCTGCTCACTCCCTGCCATCCAGGGCCCAGGAGGGACCCCAGGGCCTGCCACAGACTAGGCAAGTGCTCTCCCTCTGCACCACACCCCAGCCAAGGGGGAGGTGGGGGTGGGGGAGTGGGCCTGGCCTCCTGGGCACTGACCCAGTGGAGGCTACTGGGTCCCCCCCAGGCCAAGAGGAGTGTGGGAGATCCCGCCCACCACTTCCAGCTCAGGAGGCAGGCGCTTGACACCGAGTCACCTCCCTCTGCAGCTCGAGCCTCCTACTCCAAGGGCAACTCTCAGAACCTCAAGGTGGTCTGTCCAGGTCTGGCCCGTGTGCACTTCAAGGCCCTGGCAGGACTGGGAGTCCACTGAGGGGCCCACATGGTCGTCAGGGCCCCTGCCAGCTCCTGAGCTTCGATGGCCCCCGTTTTCCCGAGGGCCCTGACCACGCCACTTGGGTAGGGAGAGGTTAGGGTTAGGGTTAGGGTTAGGGTTAGGGTTAGGGAGAGGGGACAACCTTTCTCATAGCTTTTCCTTTCTGAAAAGTGGCGCTGCTCTCTCAGCCTGGGCAGTGCGGTATGCTTGGGGGCAGAGACTGAAGAGTGGAGGGTTCCTGCCTCCCTGAAGGCCAGAAAGCCCAGTGCCTGCGGGCGGGAGGCCTCGCCAGCACCGCTGGGGGCAATAGCATCTCCGGCGCTCTGAGGACCCGTGTTCTGTTAGGAAAGCCACCGGCGGTCTATCCCAGAAGCGACCATTGACGAGAAGAGCTCTGCCTTCCGGCTCGCCCAGGGCTCGGCGCCCAGGCCCACTGAGGGGCCACACCAGCTTGCCGCCATTCCTGAGCGACCCCACCCCGAAGGCCCTCCCCCAGCACCCCATCTGCATGGCGGGGAGGCAGCCTCCCGGAGCAGGGAGCCCGCCCAGCTTCCCTACGGCTCCAAGGCTGTGCAGCTTCCCACCAGGGACGGTGGTCGCCTGAAACCCCAAATCTCCCCCTCTGACCCGCCCGCAGCCCCAGGCCTCACCTCCTTCCAGTCCCCCCACAACTTCCCATGCTGTCCCGGGTAGGGCAGGCGCTCCTACTCAGGAACCTGTGCCTGCAGTCCCCTGGGGACAGGGCACCCGCTGCTGCGGGAATGCCCAAGACCTCTAGGACCTGGGCGGAGCCCACCTCAGGCCTCTGGCAGGTGCGCACATGCCCTCTGCCCTGGAGGCGCAGGGTACAGCCTCCAGGTTGCTGAGGCCCCTTGGACAGTCAAGCCCTCACATGAGAACCCTATAAAGCAACCAAGAAGAGGAGAGACCTACGCGGGGCCCGCAGTCCCCGAGTTCCAGCTCCTGGTCACCAGCTGCACTGCTGTCGGCCTGCGGTGAGGACAGCACCGTGACCCAGGCTGTGATGGGGGCAGTGGCAGCTCAGGGCAGCCAGAGGGGTCAGGGGAGAGACACCGTCCGTCCTTCCACCCAGGCTGCCCCTGCACAGCCTGACCCATCTGTGCTCGGGGGAGAAGCCCTCCTGGTCCCCCTACTTCCCAAAGTCCACCTCTGAGCAGGGGGGACAAGCCTTCGACACGCCAGCCTTCGTGGAACATTCCAGACTGAAACCATGACATTCTGCCTATGGCCCCTAAGGCCCATGTCCACCTCATAATGTCGGGTTCATTTAGTCACCTTCAAGAGTCCCCAAAGTCTCAGCAGTTCTGGCATCGCTCAAAAGTCTCCCCGATGCCAGGTGCGATGGCACACTCCTATAATCCCAGCAGCTCAGAAGGCTGAGGCAGGAGGATCACGAGTTCAAAGCCAGCCTCAGCAGAAGCGAGGCGTTAAGCAACTCATGAGACCCTGCCTCTAAATAAATACAAAATAGGGCGGGGGAATGGGCTCAGTGGTTGAGTGCCCCTGAGTCTGATACCCAGTACCTTTCCCCCCCAAAAAAAGTCTCCCCCAAGACTCAAGGCAAAACCTTTAGCTGTGAGCCCCTGTAAAAATCAAAAAGCAAGTCGCATACTTCCACATGCAGGGACACGGGGTGAACAGTCCCATTATGAAAGGGAGAAATGGGGACATGCAAATAAGGAATGGGACAAACTAAGACCAAAACCCAGCGGGGGAAACACCGCGTCTGGCACGGGGCCTTGGCGGCCCAGTGTGCACTCCCCTGGCGGGAGCAGCGCTGCCCAGGCGCGGTCTCTCTCAGGCTGGCTCTACTGGCTGCCTACACTGTCCTCAGCAGACGCTCCAGGCCCCTGGATTTTATGATTTCCTGGGGTCTCCTGTAGCTTCAGCTTCACTCAGTGACCAATCACCCTGGCAGGGGCTGACCGCAGGGGCTGACCGCAGGGACTCCAAACCCGACATCCATTGCCTGGCCTTCCTTTGAGAAATGTGAGACAGCCCAGGCCTCTCCGACTCTCATCCCACTGCCCAGGACCAGCACCATGCAGACGCTGCCCTCTACACAGCGGGAGCAGGAGCCGGGCTCTCTGGACTGTGCCTGAATAACTGGACATGGTGAGACTGCTCCTGAGAAAGCAGCTCCGTAGGTGGCTCTGAAGCCACGGGGCATCCTGGCACTTGCTCCTTAAAGGACAGTCTCTCAACAGATTCACTTTGACATCCTTGAGCCTGAAGAGTGGGGTCTGGCCAGTTCCGGGGGTGCTCCTAAGGGGTCTTTCTTATTATCCTGAGGCCAGGCACCCGGTTGCTTTTTAGTCGTGCTATCTCTTCAGCAACCACACCTTCCACAGCCCCACTTCATATTTCCTCTTTTTCTAACCAAATCGCAATATTTTCAAATCTTTCCACTCGGCTCTTTGCTCCTGATTCTCACTGTAAATCCAGCTAAAAGCATTCAGTCAACACCCGTGCCACAGCCTGAATGCTATGTTGCTTTGAAATTCTCTCTGCCAGGCTAGCCCACCTCCTTTAAACACAGCCTCACAGGGAGTCTCAGGCCTGGACGAGTTCTTCGCCAGAACGTAACACAAATGGCCTCTATTCCATTCCCAATCGTGCCCTCGTTCCCATCAGAAACCTCAAGAGCACACTCTTTACTGGCTGCATTTCTATCAGCATTCTGGTCTTCCAAACTCACACCTGTATTGTCCATGAAGCTCTTCTTACGGCTTTCCAGGGCTTCTCTAACCCACATCTCCCAACTTTTCCAAACTCCTCCCACGAACCAGTTTATAAAGTCCTCTAAACCACATAGTCAGACAGAGTCACGGCAACAACCCCACTTCTCTGTACCAATGTTCTGGTAGCTTTCTGCTGCTGTGATAAAGTACCTGACAAGAACAACTTAGAGGAGGAAAAATTTTGGCTCATGGTCTTGTTAGGTTGGACATAAGGCATACAGAAGGAATAAAAAGGTGCACCACCATCCAACGGCCCCCATCCCTACCTAAAACTCCACTTGTCACACTTCCTGTGAGGGGAAACTGGGCCATCTTGTGGTCAAAGGGAGGAAGCTAGAAAACTACAAGGGGAATATTTGCTACTGAACATATTGTTAAATCGTGGTCTGCTCCCCCTCTAGGCGCTTTCTGGGGAAGAAACAGACTGACTGCATGGGCAGAAGAGAAGGAATAACTCAAACTCAGCTATCAATCAAGGTGCCAATCAACCCCAGACCCCCGGGGGGGGGGGGGGCGCACGACGACTAACATACCCCAATAACAGTGAGTTCCCCTGTGTAGACGGGGCCTTGAGCTTCTGCACAGCGCATCCCACTCTGCTGTCCCGGGGCATTTTCTTCCACTTTTGTTTTCACTTTTATGAACCTCTACTTGTTGTGTCCTGCTCAATTCTTTGCTGGGCACTTTAAGAGCCTGAATCCAGGACACCCTGGGGACCTCAGCACCAATAACACCGTCAGAGGTTTCCGTGCATGGTCAGCCAGCTCCATTGCTTAGGGTCTGAGCTGAGGCAGAGGAAAGCTGCTCACCTGATGGCGGCCACAAAGGCAGAGGAGGAAAGGGCCAGGGACCAGATACAGCCCCCAGGGCAGGCCCCCACCTCCTCTCTCTTTCTCTGGCTGGGCACAAATCACGAGCCACTGAAGCAGGAACAAACTTTATTTCTGAACTCCACCAGCACACTCCACACACGCTCCCCAGGAACTCCCCCGAACGCCCCGCGCTCCTCCAGGAACCAGCAACCGGAAATATCCCTCCTCCAGCACTTCCCCAACCAATGGGAACTCTCCAGGAATCCCCGCTGTGGCCCTCAACACCCAACGCCACCTCTGAATGTCACTGCACTGGAGACCAAGCCTTCAACACATGGGCTTTGGGACATTCCAGGTCCAAACCATGACAACACTCAGCCCTCAGCTCCCGGTTTCAGGCAACAAATCCACAGAAAGGGAAATAACATCTACAGGGGGCTTCTGTGGTGGATTCTAGTCCTTCCATTTCTTCTAGGGCCACATCACACCTCTACTTCAAATCCCTTCAAGATACACAACTGTGCAGGCCAGCGCCGCAGCCTGCCCACCTACCAGGGCCCCCACTGGGACGTCCTGCCTCCTGAGCCCTCCCTGCCATCCACCAGGGAGGCCCCTCTGTGCTGAGCTTGTTGAGTGGATCCCCTCGTCCAGGCAGCCCTCCCTGGCTGTCAGGGTGGACAAGGCCTGGCTCATGCCTGGCTGCCCAGGGGTAGGATAGCAGGTCCTCCTCACCCTCCAGACTACAACTGCCCCCTAGCCCCTGCACATTTCACAGAAACAAAGAGCCACAGGGAGTAGCCTGTCCTGTTGAGAGCCACCCATGGACTACGTGTGGACCCAACTGGCATCATAGCCAGTGAACAGAAAAATCTGGTATCTGGGAACTTCCACCGGCACTCCTGCTGGTGAAGACTGCCCAGACACACGGGAATTTCTATTCTGTCTTCCAGGTCCCACGAGATGGGTGACCAGCACCAGACATGGGGGACCTCCAGCAGCCACCTAGGCACACAGACTCTCAGAGATGGGCGTGGCTTCCCAAGAGGCCAATCAACCTGTTGACTGCAAGACACCACAAGCAAGTCTCCACCCCTGAAACCTTAACCCTGCCTTTGATGTACCCCCTTAAATAAACCACCAGAGTCATTTTCTAGTTGTTCATCTCCAGCTCCTATGTGGGCTGGACCTATAAGGCGCTCTGCAATTAAAACTACTTTTCTGACTTTACCTGTTATTTCTTCGCTAACTACTTCAGACTTTACTTTCTCAGGTGCCTTTCCCCACTCCTGAACAGGAAATTTTACCCTGGCGAGGTGCTGGCCACCTCGCAATACTCTCCATCTCCTCCTGGAATATAAACGGCAGGGGAGAGGCCACACACAAATCTGGACCCTGGTCCATCTGAGACCAGAGAGGCCCCACACTTCCACACACAACTTCCTACTAGAGAACTCTAAGAAGCCCTGGCAGCCCCCATCTTGACCACAGCCACCCAGATGTAGAGACCACAGCAGTGAAACTGGGCAAAGGCTGAGTGCCACAGCAAGGCCCGTGACAGCCTGGGCCTCAGTCTTCACCAGGAAGTGTGGCCAGGGTGGGCCGCAGCCCAGTTAAAAACCAAACATGAATGATGAAGCTCAGAGTCAAAATAAGTGAAAAAGAGAACTGAACAACAACAAAGAAGAAAACCACAAAACTCGCTCTCAGAAAATCACAAAACTGACAAACACTCAAACTTCAGCTACAATCACAGGGAGGGACTCTCAAATAACTGAACTTAGAACACTCACCTAGCACGTGCAAGGCCCTGGGTTCAATCCTCAGCACCACGTAAAAATAAATTAAATAAGTTATTCTGTCTATCTACAACTAAAAAATAAATATTTAAAAAAAAAGAATGAAAAATGAGATTTCACTACAAACGTCAACAGAAATAA